CATGAAAGAGCATCACAAAATTAGTAACATTACAAAGTTTCGTTGCGAAATGTTGTAAAATGCGGATAATATAGCCTTGCGAAATTTGCGATTTTCAGTCATTTTAGATTACAAACGGGAAATGGTTACCACTTTTCCAAAATTTTGATCTTAACTAGCCTAAACACAAATTTCACCACAGCTTGAAAGAGCATCACAAAATTAGTAATATTCTAAAGTTTCGTTGCAAAATGTTGTAAAATGCGAATATAGCCTTGCGAAGTTCGTAATTTTCAGTCATTTTGTATTACGCACGGAAGTGGTAACCATTTCCCGTTTGTAATCTAAAATGACTGAAAATTGCAAACTTCGCAAGGCTATATTATCCGCATTTTACAACATTTTGCAACGAAACTTTGGAATATTACTAATTTTGTGATGCTCTTTCAAGCTGTGATGAAATTTTTGTCTAGACTTGTTGAGTTCAAAATTTTGGTTAATTGGGGAATGGTCCATTATTGGAACAAGCAAATCAAGCTCTTTTATTTGCAACCTGGGGCTGGTTGTATAAAACTCTTAATCACTTTTTTAATCACTATTTTGTAGTTAAATAGTGATAACTCTCAAATAGGCGCTTCTTATTGGATGACGTTTCCACTAACTATAGTTAACTTTAATCACTTTTTTATACAACCAGCCCCTGATACAAAACTACTACATATAATGAAAAGACTTAATATTATTTTCTCACTGACAACTGTATGTTGACCAATCATCTGCTGCACAGTAGTATTTATAGGATTTGTGGTGAAACCTACCATTTTAGATTACTTATTTACGAAGCAAGATCTTCCTGGATTTCATTAAAGGCATTTGTCAATTTTTTTATCCTCATTTCCAGGGATTTCTTGCTCGATGCTGCCTCTTGCAAAATTTGTCTCATTTCATCTTCAACCTCGTTGATCTGCGTAGAATAATGATGATTTATTGAACTATAGACACATGGGCAGATAGTCTGGTCAACCCATTGAGCGCCACCGCTCTCCCTTTACGAGAAAAATCGTCTGGCGTCAGACAGAGTAAAATAGTCTGGCGTTAGGGACAAAGGGTTGGATAAACAAAATGTCGAGTGAGTGAAAGGTTGGGTAAATGAAAAACAAAATAACTCGAGGGTTGGGTAATAAAAATTTATTGTCATTTCCAAAGCATGACTTAATCAAATATTGAAAACTAAAGAAAGCATTGTCAAATCAAACTCATCTCACAAAAGTGGTAAAGGGCATGTGGGATAACTGAATGGTATCCTTTTGTAAATTTGTTGGCCAGGGGCGAGTATTTATTTTTTAATTGATATTTGAGGTACCAAGAAAAACATTTCTGTTCGGTGCAACCCACCTCCCCCCCCCCCCCGGCCATAAATAATGACTGGTCCCTTAGACAAAGTAAAACAATCAGTAAAGTAGGGCGCATTGAAACTTAATGGGTTAAAGTGCACATTGGATTTTAAGTGATAACGATGGGTCTATAATCAACATTTTAAAAAGCATACAGTACATCAGTAATTACAGGTAAACTACGTAAAGCGTTCCTCTTTTGAGTTCCTAACTCATTTGGTATTTTTCTAATTACCTTTGCAAATTTGAAAAACTCATTGCAAATCTCTTGAGGAACTTCCTTTTAAATTTCCCCAACTTCCTGTTTAAATGGCCTGACTTCCTCTTCTGAGCGTTGTCATTGGTGGATCTTGTAATAGGAAGTTAAGAACTAAGGAAAATTTAACTGGCTTTTAGCAACATTGCAAATTCCCTCAAGGGATTTGCCAAGGAGTTTTTTAAATTTGCAAAAGTAATGAGGAAAATTGCCAGGGGCTCAAAAAAGAATGAGCTTGACGTAGTTTACTGTACAT